AAACTAAATACAACTACCAAAAGTTATTTCCCAAGGAGATATATAGCATAAAATAAGATCTTGTACTAATTATAATCCAGAACACAAACTTCAGATGTTACTAAGGAGGGAGAAGAATTGGTTAAGAGAGGTGAGAGAAGGGATAATGGTACATCTAGAGCGCAAAATATACTATTTTGATGTTTAGGGAAATATAGGTTAATATTTTTTTATTCTAAAGGTAACCATTAGTAAAATTTTAAATAAGATATAGACTTCCAAAATATAAAAGACAGGGACTTCCCTGGTGGCACAGTGGTTAAGAATCCACCTGCCAGTGCAGGGCACATGGGTTCGATCCCTGGTCCGGGAAGATCCCACATGCTGCGGAACAACTAAGCTCGTGCACCACAACTACTGAGCCTGCACTCTAGAGCCCACGAGCCACAACTACTGAAGCCCGAGCGCCTAGAGCCTGTGCTCTGCAACAAGAGAAGCCACCACAATGAGAAGCCCACGCAAGGCAACAAAGACCCAATGCAGCCAAAAAAAAAAATCTTTTTTAAATATATAAAAGATAAATACAAAGAAAATACAAACCTGTGTAACAGAAATCAGACAACAAAGGAAACAAGCATAAAAAATCGTAAAGAATAAAATGATAGAAGTAAAACCAGACAGATTATCTATAACAATAAATACAAGTTTCTTAAGTTACCCTATTACCAGTAGAGACCCTCAAACACTTTAAAACAACGTGAAACAAAAGGTTAGAATTAAAGAGTGGGCAGAGGTAATTCTAGCAAAAACAAACTGAAAATAAAATGATGTACTGATATCAATATGCAATGTAGAAGAGTCCCAGGGAAATACACAAAATGAGAAGAAAAGATTCGCTCGACACTGATGAAGGATACAGTCCATAGTGAAGAGATAACCATTAAGAACCTCACATGCCAAAAAGAGATTATGTTAAAATGGAGAAAGTAACTGAAAAATAATAATTCTAGATGATTTTTAATTCATATCTCAGTCTTTCCCATAGATAAAGTAGGGAAAAAAATTTTAGAAGCTTCAAATCATAAATGTGACATATACATGTTGAACTTTGAACCGTCAAACAGAATACAACTTCTAGTACTTCAAAATCAGACATTATTTAAAGCCGGAATACAATACTCCAGAAAATTAATAGCAAAAGTTAATTTTTAAAAATAATTTATGGAGTTCCTTGGTGGCCTAGTGGTTAGGATTCCAGGCTTTCACTGCCGTGACCCAAGTTCAATCCTTGGTTGGGAAACTGAGATCCCGCAAGCCACAAGGCACAGTGTGGCCAAAAATTTTTAAAAATTAACTTTTTGAAAATTTCATCACACGCTCCCAAATGAATACTGCGTCAGTAGTTATTTACTTGCAGACTGTTTAAGAAAGAAAGACAGTGACAACATTGTGCGTCAAAACGTATGGCTCTGACCACACCTCTGTTCAAAGGAAGATCCATAGCACTTGAAAAATTGCTTTATTGTGACACAAGGGAAAACATATTGTCAAGTTAACTGAGCAGTCAATCCAAGGAGCTGGAAAGAGAAATGGAGAAAGGGATTAATAACGATAAAGGCAAAAAGTAATAGATTGGAATATTTTTAAAGAGAACTGATCAATGTAATCCAATAGCTGGTTTCCTGAAAAAAAAAAATTAAAATAGACAAAATTCCAGCAAGACTAAACATGAAAAAAAATTGCAAATACAATCATAGTGAATCTCAAATGAGACAGGGTGCTTATTCCTATATACAGTGGAGATACGCCCCCGTCCAAATTTGTTCTCCACCTGCATGGGTACATCTGCAAGGCTCCTGGCCCTTGCTTCCTGGGTTTCACCAGTGAAGTGTCCCAGAAGTAGGGGAGGAAGGAGAGTGAGGTCAGAGGATATATCCACTTGGCGCCCTCTCAGCTTCAGGCTGGTTGTGTGTCCCCAGCCAAGGATCACCCACCCCATTCTCTCACCCTGCAGACCCAGGAGTAGAAATAGCTCTGCTGCCAGCTCTATATCAATGCACTGTTCCCTGTGGTTCCCTTGGCTATAAATAAGCCCCGTATCAATAAACCCTCCTGGAATAATCCTGTATCGAGTATGCCATCTATTTCCTGTTAGAACCCTGACTGATACATATGAAATGCTAAATTTCTTTTCTTTTTCCAGGAAAATATAGGTGAACAAAATTGAGCCAAGAAGAAATCAAAACAAAATATGCCAGTAACCGTGAAAGAAATTGAAAATATTAAATTATCACCTACAACTAAAGGCTAGGCTTAAAAGCTTCAAATGAAAGGTCCGTCATGCTTTCTTATTTCCAATAATTATCTACTTTTCAAAATCTACCAGAGTATTAAAAAGATAGTTTTCTCAGATGGTTTTACTAAGTTAACATAAAGTGATATTAAAACCTGACAATAATAGCTCAAAAAGCTGAAACTGTAAACCAGATTTAGTTATCAAGAGAGCTGCAAAAGTCTTAGCAAATTGAATCTGCCATTCTATTTAGAAGAATAGCCAGAGTCTGTTTTGTGAAGGCAAAAATGGGTTAATATTGGAAAGCCTTTTGGTATCAACTTGATTAGAAAAAGGCAAAAAAAAATAAATCCTAAGATTTGTAGTAACCTAGGAATACAAAGACATTTCCTTAACTTAGAGTGTTTATGTGAAACTAATACAAGATTATGGTGAAATGTTAGAGACAATCCTATTAAAATTAGGACTAAGATGATGATGCCTGCTATCAATGTTGCTATTTAACATTGAATTTTAACTCTCTAGCCAATGTAATAGGACAATAAAAATAAATATTAATACTGAGGAGGAGAAAATACCATTATTTGCGAAAATGATTCCCTACCTGAAAAATAACCTTAATAAATAAAGTGTACTTATAAATCAATAGAAAAAATGAATACACTGTAGAAACACTGAGCAAAAGACATAATTTAGCAATTCACAAAAGAAGAAAGGCAAACGGTCAGCCAACAGTAAACATGCCATATTGTACCTATCAGATTTAAATAATTAATGAGACGGTCTGGGTAGGAAGAAAGAGGCACTCTCATCCACTGTTCTTTAAAAAGTGTAACAACTTACTTATAATTTGACAGTATGTTTTAAAAGCCTTAAAACATACACAGCCTTCGACCCTGCAGTTCTACTTCCAGCAATGCAGTGTAAGCCATCTAAATAACTACGGCTGGGGGCAGAAAGAGAGAGAATTGTGTTCACAGACGTTCACTGTTTATAATATCAAAAAATATGATATGTTCATACAATATTTTATGGCCACTAAAAATGATGTTTAAATGCTCATTTATAATTTTTGAATTGTTCACAATCTATTTTGATAAAAAATAAATTTTCAAAATGATGTACAGAGCACTAGCTCATTTTGGTATATATATTGATTCCTTGTCTAAATGCATATAACCTTAGTATATACGAAATGTTGACAGTGGTTATCTCTGAACAAAGAAAAGTGAAATTCTAAAATTTTGCTTTCCTGTGTCTTAAGGGGATGTTAGATCTGAAAGAAGCTAGGTAAGCTGTAAAGGGAGCAACCATATTGGGTGTGTTCAAGGAGCACCGGTGAGCGTGCTGCAGGCCAGGCTTGCCATTGGCTCTGACTGTTGTCTACTGTAGATATTTGGTGCCTGACCTTAGAAAAATTGCTTAACCTCAGTTTTCTCAACGAATAAATAAAAAGAACAATTCTGCAACACTTGGTAAATCCTAAACCTCACAAACAGAGAATAATGAAGTTGCCCTGCCCCTCCCCAAAATCAAATCTGAATTTGATCAAGCTTCTGAATCCAACTACTAATCTACAGAAAGCCGAGAAAGCGGCATGCCCCAGGGATACAATCAGCAAAATCCCAACAGTGAGAAACTCTACAGGACAAATAACCTAGTTTCTTCCACAAATATGTCAACATGAAACAAAAAAGAAAGACCTGAAAATATATCATATCAACCAATGTAAAGGTGTTGGTCTTATTTGAATTCTTATTCAAACAAATGACTGTTTTTGATATAAAGGCATTTAAGAGAAATTTGTGAATTTAACCATTGACTATATATTAGGTGATGCTAAGAAACTATTGTTAATTTCTCAGCTGTTACAGTGACACCGTGTTTGCATTTCTTTTAAACTTCCTTTAAAAGACACACAAATATTTACAGATGAAATGATGATACACTGAATTTGCTTTCAGATAACATTAGGGAGGGGATCTGGAGGTATGGATAGGGGATCTGGAGGTATGGATAGGGCAGGATTAGCCATGAACTGATGTCGGTACGTGAGGGTTTACCCTACTATTCAGTCTACTTTGTGTACTTTCGAACTTCTTCATAACAACAACAACAACAAAAAGTTTATTTTTTAAAAAGCAAGTACTGTTTCCATCTCTATGATGAAGCTGATGGACTTGAACTGTAGACTTTGCAAATTAGAAAATAAACATTCTTTGCCAGTGGGGACTCTGAAAATAAAACGGAAAGGCCAAGTGGAGAAGAAATGCAACAGCGAAGCAATTCTTCTCCCCTAGTTTCCCAACACACTAGAAAATCGAAGTAAGAAACTGGGAACCCCATCGTTGGGCCAAATTCCCTCCCAGCAGAGCATATTTCCTTTTCTCTGAGCAGCTCCCTGGAGCCAAAGGAGCCTGCCCGGCCATCAGTATATTCCTCCCGGGAACTTGAATGCATACCGCTTGGCCCAGACGTTGCATGTGATAAGACAGCCCCTTACAGAGCTCTGCCCTGTGCTTACCTGTGCACAAGCACCTGGGGCCCCTACAACGGCCCTATCGTACTGGCACTGGGATTGCTACTGTTCCCTGGGAGGACAGTGACGTCGCACAGCCAGGAAGTGGCAGCAGTGGGACCCGAGCACACCCTCCTGTCTCCCCACCCTTTCCCACCTGGACCCAAAACCCAGCCCACCCAAACTGTGCCTCCCACCATTTCCAACCAGGTGCTGAAGACCTGTGCACCAGCCCCCGCTGTCCTCGAGGTTCTTTTCAACTCCTACCCTCAGCTCCGCGTGTCAGAGTCCTGGAAGGAGGTGATCCCTGAAGAAGTGTTTCAGGTGAGGAAGCTGCCCCTTCTTCCCCCGTTAGTACAAGACTGTCGTTTGTTTCTGTTCACCCACGTGTGGAGTTTTGCACTAATACCCAGGTAAGTAGAAAACATCTGGAGAAAGGACGAGAAAGGCAGATTGGGGGCATATCTGAGCATGTCTGTTTTTCTTCTGGAGGCTCAGTAATCACACAGCCTGTGGTTCTGATTGGGGTCCTGTGGGCTGCAAGGAACAGAAAACCGACTCACATGGGCTTAAGAAGCTCAGGGCTCCAGTAACCAGTGTCCAGAGGAGGGTGGGCCGTGGAGGTCCTGGCTCCTGCGTGTCAGTTTCTTTCTCTGACAGCTTAAGATATGACCGAGGTAGCTGCTGGCACTGCATCCACACACAACAAAGTCCACAGGTGACTGTCAATTAAGAAAGAGGGAACTTTTTTTTTCTAGAAGCCTTTAGAAAATGTCCCCTCATGTTTCACTGACTTGAGTCCTGTTCAGATTACTGAACAACCAAGTGTGCTCTACAAAGCGGGTGGGCAGAGGGGAATTCTAGGAGGTTACCCATAGTATGCAAAATCACCCAAAGCAGACTTCCGTCTGACTGGGCAGGAGCTGCACTTGAGAAAAGTATCCGGACCCTCTCGGGGAGGGTTGTCCCGCATCAGTAGCCGTGAAAGGATCACCCGTGCCGTCAGGGCTCTTCTGTCTGGGAGAGAGACGTGTGTCGGTTCCGTGTGCCCAGACTGACGTTCCCCCGCCTTCCTTTCAGATGCACCAGCCTTTCTACCAGTCCCTCTTTGCCTTGGCCTACAGCCCACGCTGTCTGCAGCATCTCTGCCGCTGTGCCATTCGGAAGCTGTTTGGCAGAAAGTGCTTTTACCTCGTGCCCCAGTTGCCCTTGCCGAAGTCCCTGCAAAATTACCTTCTTCTGGAGCCAGAGGGGGTTTTGCACTGAAACCCAGAGATTTGGACCAAGACACTTGTGCTCTTCTGTGGAGGCTCCAGGGTTAGGAGGGGCCCTGGATGGGACTTGGCACCCACCCTGTGCACGGACCTCACCCAGCTTCAGGTCCACCTGGGCATGGAATTGGCAATAAAGGCCCTTTCTGCCTCTCAGGGTTGCTTCTAAGGACTGGAACTGTGAATATCGTAGTACTTGTATCAGAAAGTACCTTTCAACGGAGGTTGAACTAAAAGGTATACATATTTTTCCAAGGTCTGTCTCCTGCCCACAGTGCGTTGGCAGCATTCGAGCTGCACCCTGCCCCCCCCACCAGCCTTCAGACCCTCTGCCTCAAGGGGAACACCCCACCCTTCCTAGTGCTCAGACCCTTGGAAAGACTCTGTCCCCCAAACATGACAGACGTACACACTGAGAGAGGACACTTGCTTCTGTATCGAGAGCCCCTGCCCGGGAGCCCACTGGTGCTTCCCAGCGTATCACAGTCCAGAGCCCCTAGAAGGACGTCAGAGGGGTGGTGAGCCAGACGTTCTGATCCGATGTGGGTCTTCTGTGCAACAGCCTTACCGAACGCCAGCGGATCCAGCTGTGGGGAACAGTCCAGGAAGCCAGACGCCAGGGACAGACACGGGTTCCTGGAGGTTGCTGTCAGCTCAGCCCGAGCATCCAGGATCGGAGAGCATCCTTAAAGGTCTAGCGCTGTGTTAACTGTGTCTTTTATTTTTTGTATTCTGGTGCTTCGACATCTGGGGCCTTTCGGACCCTGGAGGGACTGCTCCTCCCAGGGTTAGCCAACTCCTAGAGATTGTAAACAACATGCCCCCAGGCATCCTTTTCAAATACAACTCGACCAACCCAGAGTTCACTACCTACCACCTCCCTGGAGCTCCAGCCACTGCCCCTCCAGAGCCAGTCCCGACAACCAAGGCCAGCCCCTCTGCCCTGGAGCCCACTGCAGTCATTCAGACTAGCCAGTCCTACGCCTGTGTGTCCTGCCTCGCCTATCCTTTCCACGGAAACCACAATAAAGGCTCTTGCCCATGTCCCCTCCCCCCACTTCCTGATCAACCCTGGTGCTTCCCCGTGTGGTGTGACCCTTCTCTTGGGAATGGTGACTAATAAACTATGTCTTCATTGATAACTGTCTCCCAATCTGTTGGCCCTACTAGACCTCACATTTTCTATTAAAAACCATCTTTTAAAACAAGGACTCTTTATTTTCATCCTCTGAGGATAAGCAGTGGCTCCACACTTTCCAGTTTGAGCCTGTGCAAGGTGCTCCTGGGATGAACCTCAGGAGGGCGGGCCTGCCATCCCACTGTTTGCAGTGTGGAAGTGGGGGTTCCACACCCCAGTAGATAACTGCAGTCTAAGGTGGGATGCTCTGTCTGTGAGTGAAGCCCACTGTGGAGGTGAAAAGAATGAGGGTGGGCTGAGCCTTGGTGGATGGTCAGATTTCAACACAGCGGGTCAGGCCAAGGGAGGGATAGGACAGCATCCCCCTTCAGCTGACCCACCCACATCCTGCCCTTTGAGACCGACATCTCACCCAAAGGACTATGTAAACACGGTTCAAGATCCCACACACCCTCACCCCAGGCAGATGGCTCTCCCCGAGCCCCTCCCACATAGACATTCTGGAGCTGCCCCTGGACCAAAAGGAAAACTTGAACAAAGGCAGGGGCCATGGGGAGCCACAGAGCAGGTGCGCAGATGTGACCCCAGTGAGACTCTAGGAAGTTCCTGCGTCCTGGAAAGGGATGCAGCACACCAGAGGGCGGGTAGGAACCCATGGTGACACCCCAGAGGTGGGGCTTCAGATCCAGGCTGCTCCACTGAGCAAGGAGAACAGTTACAGGTATCTAACGATTGGCTGCAGTTTGCTCAGCTGGGAAGTGAAAGCGTGCGTACCTCTCTCACCGGGCTGGGACTCAGTGAGATAATTCGTGAGGGCAGCAGGCTTCTCCAATCTGAAGGGGTCTTGTTGAAATGCAGATTCTGACACTGGCGTCTGGGGCGGGGCCCCAGATTCTGTGGGTCGGCCAACTTTAACGTTGCTGACGAGCTTGGGTGACGCCCCTGCCCCTGGTTGGTCCTACTGAGAGCAGAGTGCAAAGCCCTAGGCCCAGACGTGGCCCAGAGAAGGAAAGCAATAAATGGTTCCTTCTCTTATTATGATTGTTTGATTATTAGGAGAAGAAAATAGCCTAATATTGGGATAAAGACTGCAAAAATGGAAAAGCAAAGCAACGTTATTTATGAGAAAAATGAGAAAAGCGGAAACAGTAAGAAATACAGCCCCAGCAGCTACTAAGGAGCCCTGTCCTCACGGGATTTTGCAAATGCGAATCTGAGTGAGCCCCTGCTGCCTGACACAGCCTGTTCTTCAGCCTCCCCGCTCCACCCCCCTCCTCCTTAGAAGACAGGTTGTATTTCTGAATGCACTAAATTTTAAATATGTTTGGGAGTCCCGGAACAAAGTAGAACTCTTTTAAAACACATTGACTTTAAATTTCTAAAAATCTGATGAATAATGACCAATTATTACATTTTCAAAAACATGTTTTTCCCCAAATTACAGCTTAAAAACAACAACATGATTCTCAGAGTGAGCCCCAGACATCTCCCCATAGCTGCCGAAATTCCACCACTGTGGAATTCTTATTCATTATTTCACCCCCACCTCCCAAGAACTTTCTTTTAAAAATCAGATGCTCCCAGGTAGAGCTAATCCATGAAGTTCCTTGGGGATAAACCATTCACTCATCCATTCAGTCATTTGTTCATTCCTTTAACCAACCCTGCCTGAGCCTGCTGGGGGTGGAGCCCAGGGCTTAGGGCTCAGGACCCACCACCAACAAGACAGGCTCCTAGTGGAGCTCACAGCCAAGCCAAGAAGGCCAACTTGTCAGCAAGGCTGTTGGAGAGACCTGGGCACATCGGGGGAGGTGTGGAGAGAAAGGGCCACTTTCTCCACTTTCTCTCTGGCTTCACCTCTGCATCGAATGAGGGCCCCTGTTCCCAAGGCAGGTGGCAGTGTGGGCTCTTTGCAGCTTCCCTCACCAACACATTCATCAGGCAGTCACGTGACATCCCCGATGAGCACCCACTCCGCCCTCCCCCACCAGCCAGTACCATATGCGGTGGGTCCAGTACCTCCAGTATAGTAGCGCTCTTGGTCAACATGGACCCATGTGCGACAGAAACAGAGCAATGAACAGGGCCTCTAAAGATGTCAGGAAGTCCTTTACCCTGCCCCCAACTCAGGCACGTGACTGCTGCACAGAAAAATAGGAAATAAACTGGCACTAGAAATTAGTTCTGAGTCAGCCGCGTTCTAGTGGCTCCAGATGTGCTGAAAACGATTCCTGATGTATGGTCATGAGTGCATGGGACAAAAATGGCAAGTGTGGTGGTTTGGGGGTTATCTTAACCGTCAAATGGGATGGAATTCATTCCTAGTTTTTCAGAATTTAATTACTGCTAGCAACTTGCTTTGTTAAGCAAAAAATAAAATAACAGAAAAAATTTGTAGTACTGATGACTGTCTAGCTTTGCCCTATGGGTCATGTGGCAGGAGGTTCTAAAATTAAGGGAACTTGCATAATTCCACACAGATAAGGGGGTAGGGGAAGGACGAGACTAAGAGAAGGAGGGAGGGAGAAAAGGTGGGAAGGAGGGAGAGAAGTAACTTAGCTGAGTAAAACATCCGAAACCACATTATGCTTTGCAGCTAGAGTTATCTTGTCTGTCTTCTTTTCCAGTGAACAAAACATACCCTGGTATTTCTTTTTTTTCTTTTCTTTTTTTTTTTTTTGCGGTACGCAGGCCTCTCACTGCTGTGGCCTCTCCCGTTGTGGAGCACAGGCTCCGGACGCGCAGGCTCAGCGGCCATGGCTCACGGGCCCAGCTGCTCCGCGGCATGTGGGATCTTCCCGGACCGGGGCACGAACCCGCGTCCCCTGCATCGGCAGGCGGACTCTCAACCACTGTGCCACCAGGGAAGCCCCCTAGTATTTCTTTTATTAAAGGGTAAAAGTGTTTTCCATCCTTAAACAGTTCATATTAAACATCATTATTTTTCTCTCTGAGTATATTACATAAACTCAATTCCATAAGACCTAAACTTTTTAAATTTTAAATTTAGTGTTGTTTAATGATGCATTCACATGGTTCAAAATTCAGAAGGTAATAAAAGAGTAGATGATGTTTCTACTAAAAAGGAAAAAGATAGCAGAGGAATATTTTCCCTCAAACTTTGAGTATCTTTGACTATACAACTGTCATCTGACCGCAGAGAATTCAAAAATACACACATGAGGTTCTCTGCCTACAATGGTCCTGAGAAGTTTCACCCCTTTCCATCCCGACCATACCCTGGACAGGATGAGATGTCCACAGCACAGCTAGATGGCCAGACACAACCCACAGCCCACAGGCAGGCAGGGCACGGACATGGCATGGTGTGATGTGTCATGTTTAAAATTCTGAAGGCGGCATTGGGCTTCTCTTATTACTGTACTTAAAATCCATCTAATTTTAAGTTCCATGACAATCATCCATTCCGCATGTTTTGAAGAAAATCAAAACCACTGACTCTTTAGGAAGCATTTGCTAATCCCAGTAACTGTATATAATCACCACAGTTTCAGTCTCCGAAATAACCCTTACATTTTCATGCTGATGGGGCAGGCTGTTGAACTTTTGCAAAGAACACTTAACCCTCTACAAAAACGGTATAAAATACAGGCTTGGAGAATGAGTGGGTCTGCTCCAGTGACGGGTCCTGACGTGGACATCTGAGAGAGAGCTTAATCACTGCAATTGCGGACGTTATTAGCTTGCCAAGTGCTTTTCATCTTTTAAGGGCTGCCCAAGGACCAAGTGATAAACCAGGAATATTGCATCTTTTATTCCATTATTTCAAGAATAAATTATTCCTTAGTCAAATTTTCTATGTGCACTTGGGATATTCAGGAGTCCCAAAGTTTCAA